AGAAGCGATCGTAGCTCGACCAGAAGATACTGGTTATGAAGAAGGAGAAGCTCCTGAGGGACAACAAGAAGATGAGGAGATTGAGGAGTTTGACGCTAGAGACGCTCAAGCGATACGGCCAAACTACAACTTGAAGCGCGTGCTCCATCGACTACCACAAGTGATCAAGACCGATGTCGACATGGCCAAACGCATGTTGTGTGGCCTACACGAGCGCATGTGGCACACTCCCATCGGAGACTTCAAGAACTTGCTTCGACGAGCGGGACAACCCGCTGAGGTAGTGAAACTGGCTGAAGAAGCAGTTGCCGGGTGTCCCGTGTGTCGCAAGTACGTGCGGCTTCCCAATCGGCCGCAGACCAAAGTACACGGTGCCACCACGTTCAACGATTCAGTCCAGATCGACATTTTCCACCTCAACCAGAGACAGTACCTACTCATGATCGATGAAGCGACCCGGTACAAGGTGGCCTCCGTGATCACCAGTTCGGAGGCTGAGGAGCTGCTCGCAGTGATCATGGAACTATGGGTCAGATATTTCGGCCCCATGAAGAGGCTGGTGCTGGATCAGCAGAGCAGCCTGATGTCTCACGAGACTGGAGCTGAATGCGAGAGACTTGGCATCACTCGATGCCCGCGAGGAACCACATCCGGGGACGCTGGCAAGAAGCACACGGGCACTGGACTGGTGGAGCGGCATGTTCAGCTCACGAAGCTGACGATGCTGAAGCTTCATGCAGAGCTTACCCGCCAAGGACTGGTGCCGGAATGGAAGGAGATTGCGCTGGAAGCGGCGATGGCCCACAACATCACGCTCAACTATGGAGGAGTGACACCCTCGATGTCCGTGTTTGGAGTGCTTCCCCGCGGTTTCTATGAGGAAGACAGCACAGGTGTTCTGGCGACAGCAGGGGCGCTACAGACAGACCTGTCTGTCTTTGAGCGAGCCATGAGGATTCGTCAGACAGCACTCGCATCTACACATCGAGCCATCATTGAGGACCGGGTGGCTCGAGCTTCGAGAACGAGACCGCATCAGCTCGACATTTCCACACTCATCCCTGGGACGAGTGAAGTGGAATACTACCGGGACGCCGGGGGAGTTGACATCGGATGGAGAGGACCAGCACTTCTGCTACGCCTCGATGCTGATGAAGGCACAGCCGTAGTGCAGTACCAAGGAAGACCCTATCTGGTATCACTCAGGCATGTGCGAGAGCACCGCGGCATCTATGGGTACACGCAGGCAGAGGAAGCTGTGGTGAGTCTCATGAAGCATGCGGAGAACCTCGCACCCTACCGCGTGCAGCTGATGGGACATCTGCGTAAGAGGAGTCCACTTGGAGAACAATGGCATCAAGTCCCGAAGGACCTGCAGGAACGAGAGGCTTTCAGCCAAGCAGTGGAGCTCTCCAAGGCTCTCACTACGAGGACACTTGGCGGCGTCATGTTCGGCAAGGCCATCAGGAGTCTGAAGCCCCCAGCCGAAACCACAGGAATACTGATCACCGATCCAAGGAGCACGAGAATATTCACTTCAGGAGTATCACAGCTCTAACTACCTCAAGATGAAGAAGGTGAGTGGATTCCTGAAGGAGGAGACGTGCCTCATCTACCTTTTCTACTACAAGCTTGAGACTCCAGAAGAGCCAGCAAGTGAGGAGATCCGCAGGAACACTGTTGTCGACATGGATGTCAATGTGGACATGCAGATCGATCAGGAAGGCGAAAACAGGAAGAGAGATAGTCCAGAGACACGGACTGTCGTTCTCGCGCCAGAGAAGAAACGGACGAGGTTTGAGTACGCCACTCAGATCATGGAACAAGATCTGCAGTTCCTGCTCGCCTACCGACACATCGCGAACCACAAGCTCTGTGTGACAATGGATTTTCCCGATGTGTGGTCCATACACCTTGGCCTCACCAAGAACGACGGAGAAGAAGAACTCAAGAAGCTGGAGGAGAAGCGGCAGGACGAGGTAGCGAGAATGGCGCAACTGCTCTTCCACGTGCAGTGCAAGATTGAAGGAAAAGCCCTCGCAGACTTGAGCACGGGTGAGATCTTCAAGGTCGACACAGAGGTCGACATAATTGACCACGATGGCGTCGTTGAAGTATGGCCCGATGTCGAGGCAGCAGACCTGAAGGAAATAGAACAATTCGTGAATGAAGGAGCGTTCACAAAGATTCATCGGTCTGCGTGGACAGATGATATGGTATTCGTGGATGCCATATGGGTCCGGAAGTACAAACGGTTGAGCGACCGGAAGCGCATCGTCAAGAGCAGGATGTGCGCTCGAGGGTTTCTGGACAAACAGAAGGATCAACTGGCGACGAGATCAACCACGGCGACTCGACTATCACAACGGCTTCTACTAAGTCAGGCAGCGATGAACGGATTCGAGCTCGAGTCACTGGACGTTGCTGGTGCCTTCCTCAAAGGTTTTACCTTTGAGAAGATCCAACAGATCCTTCGACAGAAAGGAATCACTACGCCTACGAGGAAGGTAGTGATCTTTCCACCGGCAAATGTCTGGAGACACCTGGCCAGACTCTCCAAGGATCTAGCAGTCGACCCACATCGCATAGTCGACTACGGACTGCTGTGCAACAAGCCAGTCTATGGGCTGAACGATGCTCCCCTGGCCTGGCAGCTGTGTTTGCACGAGTACTTGGAGCAGATCGGTGGAGCAGCATCGCAACTGGACGAGAACACGTTTATCTGGAAGCTCCACGACACTATGGTCGCCATTGCCACCACACATGTGGATGACCTGGCAGTCGCATCAGATAAGGATTGGCTACGCGAGTTCTACCAGGGGCTCCTTACCCGGTTCGGAAAAGTGACACGTCAGGTTCTACCCTTCGCACATTGTGGAGCACTCTACGAGCAGATCGAGGACGGCTACAAGGTCAGCCAAAAGGAGTTCTGCAAGAAGATCAAACCAGTCGAGGTGCCAAAGAAGCCAGATCAGCAACCGCTCACAGCAGAGGAATTGACGAGTTTCCGCTCAGCTTTGGGAGCATTGTTGTGGCTGACAGCCACAAGGCTTGACCTGATCGCAGACGTATCAGTGCTGCAATCATGTGTCACCACGGCTCAAATCAAGCACCTGCACATGGTTAATGCAGTAGTGAAGAAGGCGCAACTGAAGCAGAACGTGGACCTCGGTCTCTACTACAGGAAGTTCAGGACTAATAGACAGAGGTTGGCATGTATTCACGACGCGTCAAGCGCCAGCAAGGACAGATCATATGCACAAGAAGGAGTACTGGTGCTGCTAGTGGACGACTACATCGCGACCGGTGAGTTCTGGAAGCACGACGGCTATCAGAACACGTGTACGGACGACACCGTAGCCTACCACGGGGGAGTGGCACATGTACTGTATTCGCATGGATCCAAAGCCAAGAGGATCAGCTACAGTACGTCTCATGCAGAGACCCTGGCAGGCATCGGAGGCCTTGAAGCTGCGACTTTGGTGGCCCTACGGATGGGAGAGATGTTGCACGAGGCAACCAAGCCTACGCTACACCAGATGATCAACATGCAGGAGAAAGACATCGACAACTGCCCCATCGACAGCTACACAGACTGCCGCGACCTGTACGAACTGGTCACAGGCGAGAAGTCCATGCCACAGGACAAGACGCAACGGCTATACATCATGGCCCTCAAGGAAGCCAGATGCACAGGCAGACTGAGGATGTGGAGCCTCATTCCAACAGAGTGCATGACAGCAGACGCTTTGACAAAGCCCATGACGTCAAAGTGTTTGAACGCACTGTTGAGTACAGGCATGCTGGAATTTTGGAACCAGCCGGAACACCCGGTAGAATCAAAGATTCTGCCACTCGTGAAGGACCTGGAGGAGAGCGACCTGATGCAGAACGACAAGACGCTCATCACGAAAGCCAGCACAGTGGCTACGTCGGCTATGGTAGCGGCTACATTAGCCCATGGACCTATCAAGAAGGTCTTCTTCATGGCTTGGATGGTGAGCACAGCACAGGCTGTGGAAGACGAGAAGGCGGACGTGTATGACACCACGGACTACACTCTGGTCTTGGTTGTCAGCATCACGCTCATGGTGATCATCACGGAGAGAGTGGTGAACGAGATCCTCAAGTGCTGCAAGATCCGCAGCAAACCGAAGACGAACAAGACGACGCAGACCGATGCAGACAGAGATGATACGCACCGACTCAACTCCGAGATCACAAGGCTGGAGTTGGAGAACGAGCGAGTACGTGAAGCCCTGAGAGGACGTGAGAGGAATCTGGCTGAGTTGCGGAATCAGATCCGCGAGCTTAGGCAGCAAGCGCCAGGTTCAACGTATCCAGAAGAGATACACATGACCCAATATGGGTCGTGTTACCACTTAGGCGCGTGTCACCACGCCAGAGGGGCGGTCAAGACCCTCCTGAGGTGTAGAGTATGCACCAATTCCATATCCCGACCGAGCTCTGGAAGGTAACCGGAGTGAAGTCATTTGCACTGCGCATCCCGCTAGGCCTTGGGTCAAAAGTTAGTTCTGAGTGCATCCCTTTCCCGTGCCGTAGGGGGTTTTGGGGTGGTTCCCCTTCAAACCACCATGGACTAAGAGGATAGCAGAAGGATGATACTTGAATGGACCCGGGATTAATGCAGATGGGCTTAAGACTGGATTCGTACTTTGACAAATGTGTGTTCGGGCGATCTGGATTAGCACTAATGGAACGCCCAGCACGAGCCTAGGATAAGTTATTGCTTATACCTTGAAAGCGCTGGTTGCGCATTTTTTCCCAGGCAGGGTTAATCCGAACCTAAAAACTGACCAAATCGCAAGGCCAGAAATTGGCTTTTTGGGTTGCTTTGCAAGGGAAACCAAAATGAAAACACTTGTCTGGAAGATTCCCGGGTTTGGAGACAAACTCAAAGGTGGCATTGGGTCCTTTTCCCCGCGGGCCAACGTACTGCCTCTGCTCGTTGGGTCTTGCAAACGGAGAAATCTGCCTAGGGCCGATCTGGTGGCCTACAGCAGCGCCCTCAGCGCTTGTGAGTGGCAGAGGGCTGGCGCCCTCTTGGCACCTCGGACGGGAGCAGGGGCAGGGAGGTTGTCAAAAGAGGGCGGCTCCAGTTTGGCAACGACCAAACAGAACAAAACAACATGTTCATCCCCGATGGCTTGGACGGGTTCGCGGGGGTTGAAGGGAAGATCAAAACGAAGACCATCACTGGCAGAGGGGTCCCTATTCTTACCTCTTAAAAACACAACTTTTCAACTGTTTGGGTAACATGGGCTATATGTCTGTAGATTAACTTCCCCAGGGCTTGGAGTTTTAAGGGGTAACTCATTTGTCCTGACTTCCCATGCTCGAAAGTGTAGAAACGAGGGCTACCTTGGCAAATCTCCCTCGCCAAGCCACGCATCAGGAAGACAAGCCAACGGGCCGCGACGGAGCCAAATATGGGCGGGGGTTGTGTCTCTGAAGGTTTCCAACTCCGAGACCACCAAGCCGGAAAATCATACTGAACATTTGCCTTTTCTTTGTGGTTCCGGTAGAAGTCCTCCAGTATGCTAAGCTTTGCAGCTTTTCCCCAGCTGAAAGCTCAGGGTTGGGGTAGTTTAAGGCAGCTTTCAGAAATGGCTCCAGAAGGTTCCAGGGGTTCCGGGGCTGTTGGTTTTTGGCCATTGAAAGGCTTCCCCGTGTAAAAGCTGCAATGTTTGGGTGGGGAATGTAATCCTAGGAATTAGATGGGGAAGGGGAATATGTTCTTATTTACAGGCGCTTAAACGGGCAGAATACTCACCAGAAGTAGGCGTGTGCTCCCCAACGTCATGATGGCAACTCCCTGCTCAGTGGGTCGTAACTCGAGTTACTATCCACTTATATACTAGGTATTCTGCCTTTTCATGCGTTTCCAGCCTACCCAACCTCCCCCCCTCCCGTGAAGATTACTCGCAACCCAGGATAAGCCATTGATAAGCCTAAGGCCCTGAAGACTGTGCGGGACCTGGAACCCCATCGGTGGGGGGGGGACGGAAGACGGAAGATTCACTGAATCTCAGGCGGGGCTGCAAAAGCTGACTCCCAACGAGCACAGCGACCCGGCTTGAATTCGAGCCAGGTGTGTTTGCCTTTCGAAGCTGTGAATCTTGGGTCCACAAGACTCTGGTTGGAACATCGACCTGAGGTTTAAGCAAAACAAAACGCTCAGGTCATTTGTTAAACAAACACAACTAGATTTCCATTTGAGCGCCCAACAAATATGCATGTTAGCCATATTCCCTGGCAGATCCACGTGGAACCCAATCAGCAAGCCCCAAGAAAGAAGACTCCCCTAGCCATTGATGCTTGTTGAATCCACGTCTATCCAGAGGGGAGTGGTACATGGTTCTGCCTGGTTTCATGGGAGTGGTGTAATGCGTTTAAAAAACCTTCATAAGCATGCCCAAACCAAAATCAATTCGTTAGGTGTTTGGCGCTGCTCTTTCCCTGCCATTGCAATTTCTTTGCACAAACGAGCTCGCAACCGCAGCTATCGTTTTTTGGGTGTGCGACAGATTTCGGCCCCATGATGACGGTTTGTCGTTCTCTGGAGTCCTCACCTCAAGTGCAGCTGGGTGAAGTAGCCTAAATTGCCCAGCTTCTATGAGCCCATTGTCTGAACCGCAGTTTCCAACTGGGTGTGTGTGTGAGTGCTTTTAGGGGACCCAACAAATGGGTGGATTTCCTCCTCTTGGTTTCTCTTGAAAAACCACCAACGAAACAGGCACGCCCAATCCGGGCCCAACTTCAGGTTGGCAACGCGGTTGACTCAATTCCTTACTGGCTCTTGGCTGGTTTTGCTTTGCCCAAAGTGAAAACACGCCCTGAATCAACCAAGCACTTTCTGAGCCCCCCATGATACTCTAACCCTTTCCAGTTAGCACGTCCAGGTCTTTTGGCGAGTGGGAACGTGCGCGTGCTCCTCATATATGCTGCTAGTTGAACAAAGGGCACATCAGATTTCCATTATTTTCCTGGTCATATATGGAGTTCCGTTTCCGGCTTGACAACATGTCCTTCCTGGCGTGCAGCTTGTCTGTCTTTTTCCACGGTCAGAACACCCTTGCATCAGATCTGGTTTGTTTGAATTACATTCCTGGACCTGGGAACTGGTAGGGTCTTGCATGGAGCAAGCCAAAGACCTTGGTTCTGTATATGCAGTATATATTCTGTTATATGTGTATACAGAGCATGAAAAACAATAGCAGCATTGCACAAGCTCAATTGGTGACACTGTTGTTGGGATGGGGTTCCAAGTAGCACATGTAAACGTGTCGCAAAAGGAATCCAACACTACGTCTTTGAACAGCAAACACAACAGCTCTCTGAAGTCTCCATCCTTCGGCCACCCCTTTCTTCAGTTAACGACCCCATGTTGACAGGGTCATGGAGACTCCAGGAACTATTAATTTGGCAGTCAGGTCATAGTTCTTGCAGCGTATCATTTTGTTCAGCCATGCCCAGGCTACACAGCCACCGTTGCCGCCTGCGAGCGTGCATGTCGCTCACGAGAACCAACCAAAAACGTGGGTTTGCGTGGCGGAAGCCGAAGTGAACGGGACAAGAGTCCCGCAGATGCAATTTAATGTGCACCGAAGCGAACGGACTGAGAACGACCGTGCGCTGTTTTCCTAAATTGGTCCACTGGAAGTTTGGCCGTTTGTTTGAAGCCCAGGTTTGGGAACCATGTGTGGCAAGAGAAATTGTGATGGCCTTGTATGTTCATGGCGCTTCGGGGAAGCGAGACACAGGGATACTCGTAGGATCCAAGATGCAAGTCATAGGACTCCACTTCCCTTGTTCGGGGAGGGGGTGTGGGGCTTCTCACCACCTGAACCCCTAGGCTGAACATCCAAGTACGAGGGTTCAACTGTCTTGGATTGGATTTCGAGGAAGTCTTGCTGTAGTTTCAGAGCGGTGCTGGATCAGGGCTCAGTTACTCGCCTTACTCGCCTGGCATGTCGGCCGCACGCATGGTCAATGGTTCAAGGCATAGAGCCACATGAAAGGCGGCCCACCATCACTTTTCGGTAGTAAACAAGCATGGGCTGGTCCGCCGCTGAAACCCACGGATTGTACTAAAAGGGCCACCAGGGCCTCCTATTGACTGAACCGCACTCACCAGAGACGTTATCACCATACGGTTTTAGCGAGAGGCTGTTGATGACAAAAGGGTTGAAGGAAAGCCCGTCGGTCAAAAGCCCAGGCATCCAAGCGTGTTTGACGACAGATTTGCAAAGAAAGTATTTTACATCTGGGTGTGTCTGTTTTGAGGGTACCTGTGTTTTGTGGTTCAAAAGGGACATAACAACCATTTTGGAGTGTGCCGTAAAAAAAAAAGAAAGCAATAAAGAACAAACACACAGCTTGAGGTTTGCTAGATATGGATTAGAGATGAGGATTCGCGATCGCCTTCCGGGCTCCCCGGACGAATGGAAGCTGTGCCTTTTGCAGCTTCTTGATGTTGCTCACCAATCGGAGCGGTCGGACAGGCTTCGGGTTTCCACGTGTCGAGCGATCGCCATAGCCATCGCCGGAAATTTCTCGCGGCGAGATTTGGCCATGGCTCGCTGGGCTCGCCGGAGGCGGGAGGAACACCGCGGATGCTTCGAGGCTTTGTCGTCTTTTGAGGGTCTTCTCACCTCAGACGAGGGAAGGAACCCGTTTTTCAGGGTAGTCTTCTCACCTGAGACGAGGGAAGGAACCCAGATGAAAACCATTTTTAGTTGAGGGTACTCTCTTCAGCCTGGCTTAGAGGGAAAACAGAGGAAACCCGAAGCCCTTTGTTTATTGTGGTGCGGGGGTCCCTTTGACCTTCAGGATGGAGTTTCGTACACTCCAAGAGGCCTTTGGGCCGCCAAAGTAATGCATGTTCAGCGCCCAACATGCAACATGTCTGTTTCTGTTTGCCCCAAATGTTGGCCAAGATAGGTTCCACATTAGTTATGTGGTACTTGGACAGATCCAGATTGATTGCACCCTAGCTATGACACCATGTGAATTACAAGTAGCCCAAAGCCCTATTCTACTGCCATTTGTTAGGCTCGTTCATTTTTTCCCCCCTGACTAGCAAAACAACTGTGTTTAGGGCAATTAGCAGGGAGTGTCCAGGTCACCCTTAAAGGGAAGCCAATAGATGGCTGTTGGTTCTTGATTATTGGGGACCTCAGGTCGTTTGCTTCTCATATCCCAATGCCGGCCGTCAGGTCACGTGATGCAGGCGGAGCTGCTCTCACTGCGTTCCGGTGCAAGCCTGGAGGCTGATCGATCGGCTCAATCAGTAGTTGCGGATGCTCGACAGTATGTTGGCGTGTCATTGGTTTGAGGGTAAGGTTGACCCCGGGTTGTCAATAGGGGGGGTGTCAACCTGGGTTTGGCGGGGAATCATCACTTTTGGAGGGGAACACCCCCTATCAATAGACTGGGGCTGACTAATCTGGGGTCAACATTATTTTGTGAACTTTGAGTCCAAGGTTTAGGGTTGAACGTCGGCTTAGGCTCCTATAGGGGAAACTAGTTCAAAACGTCTGTGCACCATCTCATGTGTACTGTCCTTCACAGTTGGCATGTGCTTTTTTCGGGCCTGCGAAGAGCATGTTCAGCTCGAAATTCTGGGAACACCTATGGGCACCGTATTAGTATCAGGTAGGCCGCCCGGTAGGCCCTAATGGCTTGGAACGTGTTCATTGCCTTGGGACTTTTGTCGGCTGGATGTGATAAAGTTCATATTGGTGACAATAAGTTGCTACCAACGTGATTTGCATTTTTGGAACCTTAATTTTCCCTAACAACCAAAAACAGGGTGCCCTCGACATTGCCAGACCAAAGACAGGTGTGTGCCCTTTTCCCAGGATTAGCCAACCCTGGTTTACTCAGACTAGAGTTTCTCAGTTTAAAGTGGATCCTTCACTTTTTGGGGAATCTCCTCCCAAATGCTCCACCAGGGTGATGACTCCGGGTCAACAGAAGGGGAAAATCCAACCGGGGATGGATACTAACTTGATCTTGCCAGACCCCCATATTTTGCACCTAGGTTTTCCACAAACATGTTTCTTTTTGTGTTTTTTGATAGTACCTGCTTTGGGGTGCCAAAAGGAAAGCCATGGTTTGTGGGCCCCCTCTTCTATACAAGCCTGGCCAGACAATTTGACCGAACCCGTTTGGTGGAACCCGTTTGGCGCATCCTATTTTTTGGTTTCCCTTCAAAGCCATCCAATTGAAAAGGGCTCGCATATTTTGAGACAGACCTTTGTATTGCAGCCCATCAATGTTGACACACACACACACACACACACGCACACACACCCGCACAGACTTTTGACTTTGATGTCGCAGAACGTCCAAGGCGTCCCTTGCGCGGACAAGCGAGACAGACCTTATGGTCCGGCCTGAAAGGCTGTGGACTTATGCCGCATCTCCAACTAGAAAAAACACAGAGAGAGAGAGAGAAAGAGAGAGAGAGAGAGAGCTGGCGAGCAGCGGCGGGATCCATGCGTTTCAGGTTCCTCAGTGCCCCGCTTGGCCGCAGTCGCTGCAGCTGCTTGCCGCCTTGCCGCAGCAACGTGGCCCACAACGCACGCAGCGTTTGGGGGGGTCAGGTATGGCGAGGTCTCGCACCGTTCTTGTCCTTGGGGTTTCCAGTTTTGAAATATTTGTGAAGCAGGTTTCACGACATATGGACCGACGTACTTGCCTTCAGTTGGGGCCAAACAAGGTTGTCTTGATAGGGTACTTCTGGTTGATTCAGGGGGGGGGAGGAAGTCCCGCAATTGGATGCTTTGTCAGCCTTCCTGGAAGGTGGTCTGGGCCCTTAAGGTCAGGTTTGTCGGTGAGTTTGTCTCGAAGTTGGCAAAAATGGCCAGCCTGTGGGGAAGGCCCAGCCACAATAGATGCCTTGGCCGTTGGGAGTCGCAGTGTCAAGCATCCATAGCCCTGTAGTTCCGGCGTCGGACATTCACTCAGGGTAAGTCCCATGCAAAAACCTGATTCAAGTTTCAACTGTTGCTTCTGTCAGAATCTGCGGGGTAGGATGATCTATGGACCTCCAAGAAGGGGGTTATTACCTGTGAAACCCACAACATTTGCCTATGCGTATCCCACGCTAGCCCGTGATCTCCACGATATTTGTTTCAAGCCACGCAAGGATGTGCGCCATGCATGGCATGTGCCTTGCGCATGATCAAGCAGACGGGGTCAAGTGACATCCTCAAAACAATCCCTCTAGATTGCAAGATGTTCTAAATCTCACCACCTCACGAATTTTTGGGGGGAATCCCACAACCTGTCCACTTGAGCGGCGTTGTTTCTTCCCGCTCCAACATACATGTATCGAGGTGAACGTATCAACCAAGAAGGCAGCACACCACAAAAAGGCCGCGGAAGGTTCGCCGCAGGTTTGCTTCAGGATATGTTTTTTTTTCTCCCATTTTGGCTTCAAAATTAAAAGGAATCTATATGGCTGGGGGAATACGCGTTTTTGATTCTTTTCCCAGGGGGCCCGAAGAAGCAAGTGGAAGTTCGAGGTCTGGACTTTCGCCTGCGCCATCAGGGCAAAGCCATCACGGCTGCGGGGAGGCGAAGCTCGGGGCTCGAGGGGCGCGGGGCGCGAGGCGCGAGGCGCGAGGTCAGTTTGGAGATCTGGCGCTTCCAGCCCAGCACCCCAACGGCTTTTCCATTTGTCCAAACCCTAATTACTGTCCAAAAAGCAGTGGTTGGGGATGTGCTGGTTTGCTTCACTTGTTTTCTTGCTTGGGCGCGGCTGGTTTGCTTCACTTGTTTTCTTGTTGGTTTTGTTTGGCAAAGATTGCATTTCATGACCCGGCCCCAAGAAATCGTCAAGTGCTGCGGTGGTTGTCGTTCTGGTTCTCCCTTCAAACCAGCCCACAAATAGGTGAAGACCAGCACTATTCAGCTCTGCTCCAACTCTCTCCCGGCGTTCCTAGCCCAAGCAGATTCGTCCATCGTTCTTTTCAAAAGCCGATCGCTGTTTTGCCAGGCTTTGGGTCTTGTAGTGGAAAGAATGGAAATGGAAGGCACCCCTAGAATTGTTTGTAAACACATTTAGAACAGCAATTAAACAAAGAATACATCCCCTTTAGTGCCCCCGTCATTTTCAGAACCCCCGGTGAAAAGACGCCGGTGACGCGAGGGCCGGGAGCTGGCCCTGGACGCTGGCGCTCTTGGAGGACCTGGCGGATTCGCGCCCAGAAGCGAAGGTCTGAAGGTCTGAAGGGGTTGGGGAAACAAATGTGTTTATGTATGCGTGTGTGTGTGTGTGTGTGTGTGCCTGGAGTCTGGTTCTGAGCCTTCAAAATGGGTCCGTGACCCCTGTATTTTGGGTAGTGACGCCATTTCTTAAGGGTCATGGAGACTCCAGGTGGTGTGTGTGTGTGTGTACGTGTGTTTTGCTTGTTTTGAGGGGTGTCCCTTTTTTCAGGTAATTGGTGGGAACTGGGGATTTGATCTGCCTGGTTGTTGCAGGGGCAAATGGGAAACGACTCCCTAACCTCCAAACCACCAATTACCGTGTCTCAAAGGGAGACCAGGAGCAAAACCACCACTGATTGTTGAGGTTGCCCTATTTTGACACATACCCCATCATGCCTATTTTTGGGGGAAACAACCAATGAGATGTTTAGCCAAGTTAGTCCAACGTGTTCCGCTTGGTTTCCCTCTAAACCAACGCTAAGAAGAAGGGCACCCTCAAACAAAACACACAATGAATTCGCAAGACCCGGTCAGATGGAAGCCCCCTTCAACCCGATGTAAAGAAGAGCCAAAAAAGGCGCACCCTCCCCCAGAACCTCGAAATTGAAGACTTGGTTCCATTTGCAGAGGCCTTCTGGGAGCTTCCGGCTGTTATGCACCCATGGAGCAATCAGTGTCCTAATTGTCTAGCACAACGTGCTGGTTCTCAGCAGGGAATGAGGGAATGACCCCTACAAACTCACTTCCCGAGTTTGTGGGCTTCATACTTTTTGGGAAGACCATGTCAGTGGCAAAACAATATTTCGGACTTTTTGGGGCCATCCACTTGGGAAGTGCGTAAATCATCCCCTATTCCAGGGGTTGATTCCCCATTCTTTTCAGCCCTCGTTCTTTTCAAAAAGCAGCCATTCCAAATTTCCCCAGGGTGGTTGGTGGTTTTCTAGAAAGAAGGATCCCGGGAAAGAATGGAACAGTTGCCGCTAGACCTATGGGTTCCCAGCGATAGGTTCATGGCTCTTGCGTCCCAGGATGCGGATGAAGTGAGCTTCTGCGCGGCCATGGTGGCCTGCTCCTCGGAGATCTGATTGGAGGGCCCAAGCAGCAGGGGGGGTCTTTTTGCTACCTTTGGTGGGCAAAAATGATCGACTCCCCTTGTGGTGAACCATTCCTTGTGAAAGGGGGTCGCCAATTTTCTCGGAAAAAAGGTGGCAAAAAAAAACCTGGGCCCAAGAGGATTTCAACTTTTGGTGGGAGTGGTCCTTTCAAAAGTGGGTGCCTCTTGGCATTGCCAGACTTAAGCAGCAAAAAGTTAACCTGTTGGCGGGGAGTAAGTATGGCACAGTTTGTATGATGAATCCAAGGTTGACAAATTATCTTCAAACACAATCCAAGTTACACATATCTGACAGCTCCAGTTGTTTCCCTCTTTCCTTTTTTTTTGGCGGATATTTTTGTGAAATCAACCGCAAACGGAGCCGTGCAGTAGCCGACGCGGGGTGCGGTCATGGCCTTTGGATTCCTTGACCCATGTCAGGCCTTGCCCCACGTATTTCTGGATTCTTTGTCATGGAATCTTCGGGGGGGCTATGGGGGGGGGGGCTATCCCTGGATAAGCCCAGGATGACCCAAGGAGAAGCCCTGAATAAGGCCTTATTCAGGGCTTAATAAGGGACAGCCCCCCCTCCCCATAGCCCCCCTTGGGTGTCCATGACTTTGGAAATGCTGCATGTATGGCTGTGAGGGTGATTCGTTTGTTTTGCGTGTCATGCGCTGTGCTTTCCAAAGTCAAAGGGGGAGCTCTGTTTCCAACATGTAGGAATAGTATTTGGACATGGGTTTTGTTTGGGAGAGTCTTTGTCAAGGCGGCGTGAGTACCACAAAAGGGGTGCTCAAATAAGCAAGTGGTTGGCCACTTGGGTAATAGTCCACTGACAACAGTGCAACAGGGTTAATTTGAGGGGTCTTCCAACTAGATGGTAGCCTAGGCTACCCGACAACTTACTGAGTTTTCCTAACACCTACTTGCGCAAGCGGACCATGTCTAATATCATAGTTGAAATAAGATATAGCAATAATACTGATGATATTGATGATGATAACATTAATAGTAATACTAACATCAATAATAATACTAACAATAATGATCATAATGATTCAATCATAAACCAGTTGCAAACAAGCAGAAAGACAAGGGTCATGATGATGACTGATGATGATGATGATGAGGATGAGGATGAGGATGAGGATGAGGATGAGGATGAGGATGAGGATGAGGATGAGGATGATGATGATCACCATGATGATGACGATAAGTGTCATCGTAGTATTTCCTTTATCCCCAGTGGCACCTAACGTCATTGTCATCATCTATGTCGTCATGACTATCATGCTAGCATCCTCTCCATCTTCAGCAATGCCCTAGGGTTCAACGCTTATTAAAAGAATGGTTGACCCACTTGGATGATGACAATCCTTAGGTAATCAATGGTGCTTGTATGAACCTCCATTGTTTTAATGGTGGTTTGAACCGCAGGGAATGTCTAATCTCCTCTTTTTTTTCTCTGTTTTCTGAGGCAGGCAGAAGCTTTGGAAGACCACCGTGCAGCTCATGCAGGACATGCGCTGCAGAAGAGCGACTCGCACCGAGTCAGATGGGCAATTAGGGGGTTCAAGTTAGGGGTTCAAGTGGGGGCTCCTTTTCCTAAGATGGCAAGTGTTTCTTGGGCTCCCTGGAAATATCCACCAAGAGGGGGTTCACCTTTTTGAGAAACTCGCAACGTTTTTGTTTTTTCTTCTTTTTCTTTGTTTTTCTCAGGGAGGGTTTTCCAGATTCCAGCCCAAATTCCGCGTCCGTGAAGGTTTGCGAAGGATATTGGGTAAGTTCCAGCGACGTCACTATAGGGTTGCGACATCGCCCCAAGATCCAATGTATAAGGTTGTTTATTTTTTTGCGGTTGGTGAGTTCGAAGTTGCCTAGAAGGATGGTCCCAGCCGGATCAAACAGGTCCAGCAACAGCCCTTTGGATTCGTAAGACAACGTTGGCGGTAGACTTCTTTTGTACAGTGGATGAAGTGCTTTGCACTCGCTGGGATGGATGCAGCCCTATATGAATAGGATAAACCACCTGAAGCCTTGCTGGCCGGGATTTGAGGATCCGCGCAGGATCGGGGGCCGAGTCCTTGGCTTTGAAATACCACTGGTAATGTGTGTGGTTTTCCTGAAAGCTATTGTCAATTTCACCCATTTGAGCAGCGCCAAAGCCATTCTTTTGACTGGGTACGTATAGAATGTAGTTCTGCTACCTGCTCTCTTGTGGGGTTGCAGTTAGGAGGAAATGAAGCAACATTGCCACCCTGGGTTTGGAGCAAAGAAGGTTGGTTTGGGTTTAGAGCGCGGCTCCTTTTAGGTTCGGTGAGAATATCAATATGACAGGACTCACCAACTTTACCAGAGAAACCAGGGGCACATGTTCTCAATTCCGCGGCTCATTTGCCGCAACCCTGGGTGGATAGTTTGTGCTTCTCCCAAAGGGACACCAAATGGGGATGAAGATCAAACAGACCCCCTATTCAACACCCTGAGCCTTGTCCGAGGTCATCCCTGATCTTTCCTGCAAGCGTGCGCTGCTGGCTGCGCGCGCGGGCGCGAAAATTGAAGCACCGGGTTCGAGTAGTTGGGAGAGGTCGCTGGAGACGCTGGAGGACGAGCAGTGCTGCAGCATTGCCGCTCGGATGGATGCTTCTCTGATAAGCCCTGGTTCTTGAGGGCGCGGCTCATCGTTGCGATCAACTCTTTTTGCGACTGGTTTCGGTCCTAGCATTTTACTCGGCAAACTTGTTTGGCCAGGTTTTGTATTTACAACCAACATGAGCGAACACTGCGGGCTGAAAACATCCAGACCGGCGCAAACACCAAGGACCAGAATGAGCGCGCTACTTCTTGTATAGAGGGTAAGTGGGAAATGTATCCTATTTCTGGACATTTTTTGCGGGCCCTAAAAGAAGTGATTCATGGTCCAAACCTGGGCGGCTGCGGCCAGGCGCTGGCGGCGCTGCGCCGATCGCCGCGCTGGCGCCAGGCGGTGCAGCTGCTGAGCTGCCGGGGGCCGAAGCAAGTCGTCGACGGAGAAGCGCCGGCGGAGGGTTTTGCTCCCTACGCGGTTCTTGGATCATTATGGGGGCTGGGGGGGGAGGGAGAAAAAGGGGAGGGAGCCCAAGTAAGCCCCAAACAAGGCCTTATTGAGGGCTTATTTGGGCTTGTTTGGGCTCCCTCTCCCTCCCCTCCCCTCCCCCCCCCAGTTGTTTGGTTTTCGATGTTGGGTTCATGTTTAGAGCTGCAAAATCCCTTTGCTGTTCGTGGATCAAGTCGTTTGGTCCCCAGCTAGGTGCCCATTTACCAACCCCTTCTTCGGTTGGGAGGGTTCCCCTACTAAAATAGACCCAAAACAAGTTGGTACCAACTTATTCTAACCTCTTTACTGGAGGACCTAGAAGTTGTTTGATTTTTCGATGTTTGGTTCGTTTGGCCTGCAAAAAACCGAATCATATTTTGGCTACCATGCCATGAAGTTCCTGTCCGGTCAGCGCCAGGGCCCTTTTGCTTTTGCCGGACTCAGCTCAAATACCTCGTTTCACCCACGTTGCTGCTGTTGGCTTTCCGTCAAGTTTGCCCTCTATGTGCATGTTCTGTCTTTTTCTGGGTCGTGCCATGGAGGCTTGAATATGTTTCAGTCAACCCAAAAACAATATCCAAGAGAAGGAGGTTGTACAGGGGACTCCCTTCGATACCAACCAACAAGACAACTGAGCGGGGATCAAAATAACTTTATGTTTCGACTGAATGTGTATTTTGAGACAACAACACATCAATGTTGATCAATGAGTTTCGCGACTTGCTTCAAAAATCCCGCTTCTTCTTTTCTTCGTGGGGTTCCCGGCCCGGACCAAAGGGATGCAGGAAGGCTTCATTATGCTTATAGCTCCGTGCAGATGGGTCTTTCAAGCAGCCACCATCATTCCCAATGTGATTGTTGCAGCCCGCCAAAGAATCCAAGCATGGGTTTCTCACACCCAAGGTATATGGAGGTAACATACTTGTTGAATATCGTTTTAGTGGTAACCAACAAGTCGGGGCTTTTCCTGAGCAACCTAATCGGATCGTCAGGAAGTAAGTGGTGTTCATTTGTTCAACGTCGTGTTTTCCATCAAATTCAATCAGCCAACGCAGACCGAGCTTCAATTTTGGGTTCCGAGTCCGGGGGATGCCAAATTTCAGAGCGATAAGCTAGACTGCTGAAGGGCAAGAGAGCTGAGAGGGTGCACAAGTGGTCAGACCTATGTTGCCCTTCTCTGACCCCCATCTGGGTTCTGGAAAGCCAGAACCCAACTTTTTGGAGAACGGCTGGTTGAAACACACGACGGTTGGAAGGAATGGTCAGGTTCCCTGTACTTGGCGGTTCGTTTTGTTTGGTTTGGAGGTTGGGGGGGGGCTATTTCCTGCTACAAGAACTCTCAACATCACCAACGGGGGCTTCCTGCTACAAGAGCTCTCAACATCACCAATCCCAGCACCTATTTAAGGGAAACCTGACATGGGGAATCAACCTCGATGAGATTTGGGCACTTTCTGGTTCTTTTTTGCGGGGTCCCTACTAGGAATCTAGGGATGGTGAAGCTCCGATTTCTTATTCTTTGAGAAACAGCTGGTAGAAACTGATTGTTCAGCATCTGGCTGTGGGTCAAAACTGGTAGCATGTTGGGGTAGGTGCACCACCCATTTTAGTCCGTTTTAGTGGGGATTGGGATGTTCACTGATTCACTGGGGGTACGATTTGGATGTTGACCCATGGCCATCTATGTGTCTTGTAATTGCCAGCTAGTCGTGCAGGTCACCAGTTGTCGCTGGTGCCCTTGGTTGCTGACCGGATTCGAGGGCAATCCAAAGAAACGACCACCTAGTAACTTAGTAAGGCCCTGGAGCCATGTGAGAAAAGCACCCGTTTTCAAGTCTTTCTCAAGCTGGTGGACTCTGTTACTGTTTTTGTATTTGCAGAGAAACCAAAAGGAAACCAAGAATTTAAGGGACTAATTGTTACAGCACCCTTCGTGGTCTCAAACTAGAACTCACCCCCCCCCCTCTCTGAAACCAGGAGAACTCGCGAAATGGGTGGTTTTCCTTTAGTTTCCCTTTCCAAACAACCATTTGCTTAAGAATATGATTCATTTTGCCTTGCTGGTTTTAAAGGAAATCTGTCACTACTGGAAATATTTGTTTTATTTGTTCCAGAGGGCTTAAGCAAATGGAAGAAAAGGGTCGCCTGAAACATCACGACTCAGGCGCTGCCCAGCACAGAGTTTTGGAGCCTCACTTCTCGCCAGGCGCGGGGGCGAAATCGAAGAAATATCGCAAGATGGTCATGGGAAATACCAAGCTAGGGCCCGCCATTTGGAGAAAGACTCACGGCTGGGTGGTGTTTTTGTTGTTGGTGTCTCTTCCAATACGGCCATGGGTCAAAATCCCCGTACCCCAATCCCCGCTAAAATGGGTGGTGCACCTACCCCAAAATGGGGCTCTCATTGGTGTTGACCCACAGCCATACCAAGCCAGGGCCCACCATTTGAGAAAGACTCATGTTTTTTTGTGTGTGTGTGGGTTTTCTGGCAACTTAGTTGTCCTTCTTGGGCTTGTCTCGAAGCGAAACCAAAGGAAACCCTGCTATATTGGAGGTAGTTGCTCCGTTTGGAGACGACCATATCCCCCAAACATCACCTTCTGCAAAAAGGCCAATTTAAAGCAAGTCTGTGTTTGGGGGTTGAGCGACAGATGGCAGCGGAGCTACGCTATGCGATGGTTCCTCGCAACACACCCCCGAATTGCTTTTGTCTTTTCAGCATGTCATGAAACTGTTTGGGGGACCCACGTAAAGGGACGTTTGAAGGGTTGCAAATTTAACATCATACCCACACCTACCAACTTGTGCAGGACTCTTTTTTGCATTCCGGGTTTTCCGCGTCTTAGCTGTCAACACTATCAAGATGCTTAACATGTTGCCAGCTAAAACAACACAGCCAGTCTGTATAATGTCCACTGACAAATTCCTGCAACCTCCAACTCTGTGTTGCGCGGAATCACATCATTTGTTTATTAATATGGGATCTTGCAAGCCCACATTTAGCCATGACAGCCCCGCTTTTGTCCGTTCCAGCCAAGAGTGCTACCGTAAAGATGCCCATCCTCCGATAATGGTAGCAGACGATTAGTAAACCCCCCCCGATTAAAGGTTTCCCCTTTTCCCCCCCAGGTTCCAACCAACACTAAAGTAAAGGGCCAGCAAGATTCTCCCAAAAAACCCTACCCAATAATTTTTGAGCTCTCCCCAAAACCCCCCCCGATTAAAGGTCCCCCCGCCCCACACCTTGCCCAAAAAAAGCGAGCAAACAAAGCAGCAACTATTTTTCTCTCAGCAAAAAAACAGGGCCACCAAACCATAGATTTCTTTACATGTCCTTGTTTCAAAAAACATGTTTTTCAAGGTCACAAAGGACACCCCCCTTCAAGGGCCAGCCCCCCCATAATAACCAAAACCCCCCCTGATTAATCAGGGTGTTCCCAGCCCCTTGCCCACAAAAACAATGGTGCTTCTGTGCTTTTGAAAAGGGCTCCCCTTTAAACAACTCCAGCAGACTTGCCCCAAACATTCCTGGTTTCTGCAAAAAAACAGGGCCACCAAACCATAGATTTCTTTACATGTCCTTGTTTCAAAAAACATGTTTTTCAAGGTCACAAAGGACACCCCCCTTCAAGGGCCAGCCCCCCCATAATAACCAAAACCCCCCCTGATTAATCAGGGTGTTCCCAGCCCCTTGCCCACAAAAACAATGGTGCTTCTGTGCTTTTGAAAAGGGCTCCCCTTTAAACTCCAGCAGACTTGCCCCAAACATTCCTGGTTTCTGCAAAAAAACAGGGCCACCAAACCATAGATTTCTTTACATGTCCTTGTTTCAAAAAACATGTTTTTCAAGGTCACAAAGGACACCCCCCTTCAAGGGCCAGCCCCCCCATAATAACCAAAACCCCCCCTGATTAATCAGGGTGTTCCCAGCCCCTTGCCCACAAAAACAATGGTGCTTCTGTGCTTTTGAAAAGGGCTCCCCTTTAAACAGCTCCAGCAGACTTGCCCCAAACATTCCCCCTCAAGAAATTATTAGGGGGGGTCCCCTAAAAGAGCCCCAAAATGTTGCCCCTCCCAAACCTTGTCGACCTTGAAGGGGGGGGGGGGGGTTTACTAATCAGTTGGCACCATTAGAAAAAGTTGGTCTGTGCGTATCACGGTTGAGTCTCTTGGCTGGTCGAGGAAGTTCCGAACCCAAGCCAGCGAGGCAGCCGAGTTCTGCCCTTTTTAACCCTTGAATATGGCCGAATATGGCAGGCTTATCCCTGGCTTATCCTAGGCTTATTTAGGGATAGCCCCCCCATAGTCCGCTTATGGGTCCATGACTGTCCGAGTGTCTGAGCTTTGTACTGTTGGATAGGCCATTTTAGTGGCAACCCCAAACTTGACCACTGAACATGCCCGAGCTCCTGAACTCACTTTTGGACAATGTCAGTGGCAAACCAATCGTTTCATAGACTTTGCCCGCCCCACTCAAGGAGAGAGTGCCACTTTCTGTACCAATGGAGTCCACCAAACAGCTACAGGAAGCCAGGTTTGTTGTTGTTGTTCACCATTCAGCCTGGCATAGATCACAGGCGACACTCGCAGCGCTGCGGCGCAGGCAGGATTGCATTGGCGGTTCTGAGGATGGGGTGGACCCCCCAAAACTGGTGGTGGTTCATATATTTGCTTTTGCAACTAGGAACAAAAAGGGTCCCCTCAAAAAAAGACACCAAAGGGAAAGCAAGCTCATTCAGGATCCCGAAAGCCAGAAAGCATGTTCGCAGACGCAAGCCATATTGCATGCGTTTGGGGCGGTACTTGCCTCTTTTTGCGGGTGGATTTAAAGGGACACCCGATGAAACATCACCAATTTCTCGGTTGAACTATGTTGACGCATTCCCATGTTGGCCATTTTGGAAGCAGGGTGCTTTGTGCGCTTCTTGGGTGTCTTTTTTTAGTGTGGCCCCCGAAATGACTTTGGAGTTCCTGTTGGCTTCCCTTTACAGACCATCAATTTTCTTGTTAGTGGACCCTCCAAAAATGGGCACCAGCTCAAACGGCTGTGGGTCAACAATGAATCGGATGTTCACTGGCAAAAAAAGGAGGCGCCAGGCAGCCCCGCTCCTCTTAGCGTCGCCACTCTTGCCAGGTGCGGCGAGCGCTGCAGGGCGCTGGTCAGTGGCGGCTTATGCTGCAGGATCCCTTTTTTTCTGCATTTCTTTTCTCGGGTTGAAAACCGCTCCATGGGGGGAAGCCCAGGGTTAGCTTACCCCAACCAGTCCGGCAACCCTACTTTGTGGCTTTGATTGGTGGTTTGGGGACTCGAACCCCTGCCTTTTGTTGAGGGCAAAGGGGCAAGCGCTGCCTTACCATAATGTTAGCACAGGTCGAGGGACAGGTCCTCGGAAACTATTATTGTATTATTGTGAGCAGCGTTTACGTGTCAGCATCACAATCATCATCATCATCATCATCATCATCATCATCATCATCATCATCATCATCATCATCATCATCATCATCATCACCACTGAGTGCCCTTAGCAACTGATGATGAACAATTATGTCGAAGAAATTGATACAACATGCTTAGTGAATCGTAAATTGCAAGGAACGCCACATGATGATGTTGCGTTTTGTTTGTCTGAAATTGAGTATCGGGTCAATCGGGCCGTGAATTCCTTTCTTCCCAACGAATGACAGTGACACAACGGCACATTCGTAGGGGAAGTACTCTTCAGTAAATAGATCAGAATGAACCAGCGAGTAGCTGAGATTTTGGGCATGGGAAAAAGCAGTTGTTGCGGGGTGCCGGATGTGATCCTTCAACAAAATCAATCCGTACTATATTATTGTGTTCGAAGCAAGACCTAGTGGATTTCTTCTTGCTACACTTTACTGTTCAGACCGGTGTTGAGAGACTGTTATATCCAAGCTACACCTAGATAGAGCGGCTGCCTTACACCAACTAGGGGTGGTTTGGATTGGCGGTTTGCGTGATTCAAACCCCTGGCTTTTGCAGAGAGGAAAGGGGGAAGGAAGTCATCCCCAAATGGAATCGACTAGGGTCACACGGAGAACATAAGGACGTCACAGTCAAATGTTTCAGACGACTGGGCCATGGTCCTTGAGTCCGCAAGAGACAACATTCAAAATGGGGCCCGCCTACCTCACGCGGAGCTTCCTTCTTTCGGAACCTTTCGGGAGTTGTGATGTGGCGCCTTTGGATTTGTTCCATTGAAGGGCAAAGGCGAATGAGTAAGCAAGCCCTGGCTGGGCTTGACTTTTCTCATTGTTCCGGGTATGATATCAATCGCTGACGCAAAGTGAGATATTTGCCGTGGGAAACATCAGGCTTTTCCAACGGACCATACCACAAAACGACGGGGCATTTGGAGCGGGTACCCTGTACCGTAAACCCATCTAAACCACACTGGAGCCTCCGCCTCCAGGACGTGGACGTTGGCACCCTCAGCGCCTGCCAGCGACAGAGCCGCTGGCGCCAGGTGCTCGTTCTCTACAGGACGGGCTGCTTGGTCTCCATCCAGTCGGTGAGTTGATGCCTTTGTTTAGGTTCACCTTGGCTTCCTGTGGCTGATCTGGACGTGTTTTTTTTTGTTTCACCCGTTGGTTTTTTGAGGTTTTGAAGGGAACCCATCACTGCTGGAAATATATATATATATATATACATTGTTTGGTTTCCCCCATGCGGTGGCCGAAGCAAGTGAAAGATGTGTGGTTTGGAGTGGTGTGTGGATTTGGGCTTGAACGGGCCCTATGGGAACCCGCCCCTGAACCGCACAACCATCAATCCAAGCCACCTTGCGAACACGGTTTTGTTCTGCACTTGGGTTTGTCTCAAGGAAAGGAACCCTCCAAGCAGGTGGTTTCCTATGAGTGTCCCTCTACACTCACCCAAAGGGAGCTGATTTCTGGGGACTTCGTCCATGCAGGGCTCTGTCCATGTTGAGTGGTTGTTGCATGCCTGGTCTTCGGTGCCCGTGTTCTTGTATCGGAATTCGGTGATTGGAAAACGGCTTTTCACCAAGTGCAGTCCGATGGGTCCGAGAACATGAATGCTCATGGGGCTTTCCTAGATTTCACCTTCTGGACCACTTGCGCCAAGTTCCAGTCAAGTCTGTGGCGAAATGATGCTAATAATTTTCTAGGGGAACCCTGTAAAAAAGGGGCAACCCCGCTTATCAATGTGGGTTGCACGGGATTAACCAGGGCTGCCCTGTTTGGGTAATGAGCCCGAGTTGGACCGGTTGCTTGCTTCAAAGGAAAGCCTATTCCATGAAACAAGCACCTGCAAGGCGCTTGTTTCTTTGGTTCAATAATTTCCCCTTGCTTTCGAACAACAACAAAGCAACAAACTGCTTTTTAATCATTATCCATGTATCAGTGACAAACCAGAAAGGTTTTTTCGTCTCCTTTGGGTATTCTTTTGATAGTTCACAGATGTTTTGCACTTGCGTTTGGCCCCCTGCTAAAGGTATCAGGGCGGATTACAATGTGCTCATTTGCGGGTAGAACAAGTTTAATGATGAAGGTCCTTTGCTAGGGGCTGGAAAGTACAGGAGCATTTGCCAAGCGTTATTATTGTGGCTTTTGCAGCTGTGTCAGCGCGTGCGACTGGCGGCAGGACATGCCCACAGCAGCCAATCACCGTGAACCTGGCTCTGTCGGCCTGCAGTGAGTCTTGGCCCTTCAATGTCAAGCTTAGCTTGCTGCTCGTGCCACCGCCCACTTAAGGAACCCTGCAGAGGCCAGCCAGCCCGAGTTCTAGGTCAGGGAGTGCGAGGAGAACTGTTTGCCTTGCTGGTTGTCCATGATGTTACAAGTTCACGGCGGCCAAGCCTTGCCAATGGGCCAAGACTCCAGCAACATCAAGGGTTCAGCGTGGTCAGGGTGTATGCGTTCTAGTTGGTGGCTGCAACCAGCCATGATGTTGCACAGATTGCGCCTACATGCCTCAGCATGTTCATTGCGTAACGGATGTTGGCAGGGCCGGCTGGAAGCATTAAAACAAAATATGTATGTATGTGTATATAAATAGATGTATGTGTGTTCATGTCATGACTAGACATATTGGAGTGTCAGTCGACAGTGTGTCCTTGTCAAACAAGTCCCATGGTGTGTGAGTACTAGCAGTCTGTATGGCCCGTTCAACGATGTTCCTTCTCGTTGATCCAAGTTTTCTGGCACATTGGCACTACTCCCCTCCAAATTAACATGGACCGCCCCCTCCCCCTCCCCCCCTCCCAACAAAGCACACACACACACAAAACAAGAGAAGGAAAGAACACTCTCATGTGTAGAATAACCTGGGCCGCTCCATCAATTTTGGTGAGCATTTATGCCGAATTTAGGAGAGTTGCTCTGAAGGCAATATGGATTACAACGATTTATCAAGGGATGTTTTTTCCCCCCCCCCCCCCCCACACAAAAGGAAAGTAGTCTTCCGAAACTTTTCCGTCTGCTTCCATGAATGATGGTGGGAGGGCTGCTCCAAATCTACTCGCAAGCTATCTGAGGAAAGCCCAAAAAAGGCCTCTTTTGAAGGAGCTTCCCCCAATGGTATGAACCAAAGACCTCTGTTTGATGCCTCAAGGCCACCCTTGAAGGTAACAAGGGCTGGAATTGTATGCTTTCCGCGCTGGGACCTAAAAGGTTTAAACGTTCCGCATGTGAAGGGAAACCCACAAACCCATGTTTACTTGTGCTGATCCCTTGCTAAAAGTTTGGGTTTTTGTGGGACAAATCCTCTAAGCACTAAAAAGTCCGAGGAACACCCTTGAGGAAACACACATGGGACCTTGCTCTTCCCAAAAGTGTAAAGTCCGAACCGAAGCTCAGGGAGTGAGTGTTTATAAAGAACCCTCCCCAGAAAAACAAGCCAAGGACTTAACTATCTCTTTTTCCCTGGATCCCTTCAAAAATATTCGAACCATGGGGCGGGCCTGTCTCGTTCCTAAGGAGGGCCGCCAGTGGCAATTGGCGCTGCAGCTTTTCCTCGGCGGCTTCCGCGGCGGAAGCGGCGAGTCCATGGCGCACGGCTGGAGCTCGCTGGTCACGGCGTGTGGAGAGCAGTGGGAGGCAGAGCTCCGTGGTTCGACGTCGCCATTCTGTGCGTTTGGGGCGATAATTGCTTTTTTTGCGGGTGGATTTAAAGGGACACCCGATGAAACATCACCAATTTCTCGGTTGAACTATGTTGACGCATTCCCATGTTGGCCATTTTGGAAGCAGGGTGCTTTGTGCGCTTCTTGGGCGTCTTTTTTTGGTGCCCTCAAAACGGCTTTGGTTGTCCTGTTGGTTTTCCTTTACAAACCGCCCATTTTCTGGTGGGTGGAGACCCCAACATGGGCACCAGCTCAAAAGGCTGTGGTTGTCAAAACCGCTTTGGGATCCCATTTTGGGGTTTTCGGTGCACCACCCAGTTTTGAACCTATTTTAGTGGGGATTGAATCGGATGTTCACTGGGGGTGCGATTTGGATTTTGACCCAAAATTGGGGAGGGGCGCGACTCGCTTCTGAAGCTTTGCCTCACTGCTCTTGGCAAGTTTTTTAGTTGTCTGGTTTTTGGCAACCGCACCACGAGTTGTGAAGCTTTCATAAGGCCGTATCAATTGCTTATCCTTGCTTAATTAGTGCTTAGTCCTTCTTTTTGGAACACAGCACCCCGTTTGTACCTGGGGTGGCTTGATTTTGGCACACTCTGCCAAGCTTTTTGAACGGACACCAAAACGGAAACCGACCCAACCCACAGGATTCCTAAAGGAAACCATATTCCAGGGTGCCTGTTTTGAGAAAGACCCACATGTTCCCTGGCTATCAACTGGGCAGCACCGAAATCAAGTGGCTGGTGGACATAAATCCCAAAATTATGACCACCAAAGGCTCCGGGACACATTCAGTGTCATGCCCGCGTGTTCCCATGCCTTGGCGACCGTTTCCTTCCCCAGAAGTAGCTCTTATTTTTTGTTTTTTGGGGTCCTTTGTTTGGAACCAGGCAAAACAAAATATATATGTTTTTTCTCGGGGTCCAAATTCTGGCCAAGTCTCGTGCCAGGTCGCACTGAGCGTGCTCGCGGGCCGATTGGACGCCCCGCTGGCCGCATGGAATGCGCTGCTGGCGTGTTGTGCCAGGCGAGCCGCTGGCTATGATGTCCTCTGTGGGAGTTATTGCTCAATCAACCGGATTTGGGCTAGGGTACAACCTACATAAGGCTACCAAGCCGCTTGTGAGTGGTGTGCTCACCTAAGTAAATGGTCTCAAGGGAAGCTAAATCGTTAGTAGCCCTGTTACAACGGTTTGCCCGGGGTTAAGTGGATTTGAACTTGGGGGTGTAGCAAGCTCCCAGACCATTCAAGGTGGGTGATCATCCCTTGGGTTTGGGGGTGGGGGTATTTTCTCCACTTTGGTTGGAAGAGGCCTCATTCAAACAAGGCGACACATGAGACTACAGGCCTATGGAAAGTCAGGGAATCACGCGTCTTGCCAAGTCAGGTTAGTGAAAGCTAAGCGAAGCCCAACTTGGCTCAGGTAGATACCTTTGGGCCAGCTAAAAGCACAAAACAACAAGCAACATATGGAGTCCGGCTTGTGAGGATTCGATTCCTTGTACAGCTTCTTCCCCAGCTGAAAGCTGCGGGGTCCTTGCCCAGAAATGGGCTCTGGGCTGGTGGCTAACCGATCGGAGTCCTGTCAGGGTACTGTAGTTGCACAGCGAAGGGCAAGCTTTTGCTGGTTTTTCAGGGAACTTGTCACTAGCAGCACGGTGGCGAATAAGCAAATGGCAGAAAAGCAAGGGAACTACTGCCACATAGACGGTGCTCACGAAGCTGAAACGAAAGCAACCGGAGGGTGCTGGTACCATTTTCGCATTTTCTCTTTTTTAGGTGGCAGAATTATTCACAAGTGGAAGAGAAGCTATAGGCAATCTTTGGTTCAACCACTTCCTTCGTGGCTCAGGAGCTGTCCGACACGAGCGCTGGAGCTGTTCGAAGGCCTTTTGAAGCTGAAGGCCGGTTCTGGGTACGGTTGGGGGCGGGTCCTTTTTTAAGGGAGGGCGCCCTTTAAAAACCCTCAAAATTGGAGACGCTCTTGTAATCACTCCCTGAGTTATCCGTTTCGCACTTGAGTCACTCAAGTTGTTGGCGTAGTTTGTAACCCCCTTGTAAGTTCCCCGTTCAGTGCGGATATCCCTGTTATTAGTGGGGTACACCCAAGTGGACCACTTGCTAACTTGGCCGAACATCCAAGTAGCAGGGTCAACTCCAGTGCCTTGTCACCTAGACTACTGGCAACTTATTCATTTGGCATCGAGCAGCAAAGTATAGTGAATAAGTCCCCTAAGGGTTGCCCCCTTTTGGGACTCATCAACATTTGGGTATGGGTCAAAATTAAACTACTAAGGGACCCCAGGTTTTAGTTCTTGGTTCCATTTGCCAGGGCTGCATTTTGGGCACCTATTTTCGACCCACAGCCATTTACAAACCGGCATCTTAACCACTTAGGAAGTAGGCGGGGTGGTCCGCTGGGTATGGTTCACTCTTTTGATCGCTCCGACACGGGGGGTTTAGAAGGGCGGCATACGGCGGACGGGCATGGACCCTCCCCCGAATTGTTTGATGAACCCAGTTTGTTGTTTGTGTAAGGCGGCATGCCCTTTGGTGTCATATGGGTTAGCTGTATTTGCGATATCTGTGATGAGCTATAGAATCATTGGGCCGAGAGCGACCTGAAGCTCAGCCAGAGGCAGAACTGTCCTTGCACTCGATTTGGCTTCGTCTACGCAGGTAACGGTCTGTGGGCGTCTGACCTTTCGAGGCGGACGCGCCATCACTTTCCCTCATCGGATAGACCAGACGGGCATCATCGATGCTCAGATCAAAGATCCGAGTGTCAACACCGGCGGATTGCAAGGGGGGCAGTTGTTTTCCCAAGACATGGTGGACCACGCATACATTAACTCATTTGTCTTTCCACTCCTGGAGTTGTGAATTGCTTGCCCCTAATGTTTCGGGTCGTCCAAGTGTGGTTGTTGCATTTTCTGCATGTGTCTTCAATAAGGGTACCAGAACCCAAAATGGGTCTTTATTCTTCGGTTTCCCTTAAAAACCAACTCCAAAAAGGGTACCCTCCCGAAGAAGACACCCCCCATTTACCCGGCAGTTCCAAAAGTTCACATTGCGCAGGGTGTGATTTCCTTGGGGTGGCGGTGAGGGTTTGTCTCATTGGGGTGGTTGTGAGGGGTTCGCCTTCAATTTCCCTTGACGCCGATTTCGAAACTTACCGGTATAGGGAATGACCGAGTCCCGGTGTTGGGGAATGCACCGGAAGGGGATTCCCTTAAAGGAAACCGTAGCAGATGGCTTATAGGGGTCATTCCAACTCATTCCCTGCTGAGAACCAGCAAGGAAATGAGCACCTCAAACTCAGACACACCCATGATTCCTTGTTACTATGATGCATGTTTGCATTTGTCAGACCAGCCCTTTGCTTGGGATTGGTAGCGGTAACGGAGGGGTGCGGGAGCCAAACAAGCCGTAACATTGCGTCTTGCCGCTGCCTGATATAAGGAAAACCGTATCGGGATAGGATTGCATTGTGCCGTTGTCTTGTCTTGACTCTCTATTTTGACAACGGCGATGGATGCCCTAGATATTGCCAGTAAGAGAACAGGGAAACCAGACAATCCTCTATTTTATCCTAGTTTACCATCGTTTTTGTGGTTGAGTATATGGTTGGTGTACGGTCGAGCACTTGCTATGGGGCATCCGTAGACTCCTTGGGGTTCTCCAGCTTCCGATCGACAGGAGGCGGATGAGATTACCTACACCGCTGCGCTGCAAGCCTGCCGTTCGCCCAAGAAGCTGAACTCTGGTTGTGACTGGTGTCATTGTTTCGCAGTTTCTGGGGAGGTTATCAACGTCAAAATCGGGCTGTTCTAACCTACCACTTTGGGGAGACTTTGGTGATAGAGAAATAATGTGGCCTGTTGAAGTGATGTACAGGTCATGGGCATGGCCCATTTAGGTATCACAGCAAAGCTTATTTTCCACGACCATGTCACTATCCGGTTAAGTGGAGGGTCAACAGGTACTGTGATTGGACATTGGCATAAACCGCCTCCCAACTGGTGCAGGATTTTGCCCCTTCGCGGAATGCAAGGCTTGGGAGGGGGCACACAAGAGTACAGTTATGTAGGTTAGTCTTCTAGGCTCATGATCCACTTCCCAAGTTGGAAATGTCACTTGGCCTTTCCCAAGTCACTAACGTGCTATCTCAGCAAGGCAAACAGACGAATGTGGACTGAAACTGTTCATTGGGCCTTTCAAAGGCGGAGCTCCTTATGACTGACTGAGTGTACCTTGTTCTTCAACATCACTTTCAGCGATGAGGCTAGGTCCCCCAGCAATTGGTGCCCTTCCGTTTCTTTTTGGGGGAGGGTTCCCCTACGAAAACAGACTACAGAAAAAAGGGTACCAACTTATTCTAACCTCTCTACTGGAGGACCTAGGAAGTGTTGTCGGTGTTTGTAGTTCTTGTTACGGAGACGCTTCTCGCAAGACGGTTGACAATCATGTGGTGTTTGTTTCGTAGAGTATTCGGTGTACCTAGCAGATACACGTTGTCCTTAGTCATGCGATTATGCTGAACGATAATGAATTACGAGTTAGATGGAAATTTGCCCGTCATATATCCTGTCCCTTGTCCCAATGTTCCCAATTTTCCTGAATGATTCGGATGCTCAGGAAGATTAGCTAGTTCAGGCTGCTCATTTGCCAAATGATGCGGTTCATCGCATTTCGCCTGGGTAAAGATCGTGAGGATTCACCATTTACTTGCTGCAAAAAGCAACATGCCCGGTGACCTAAAAAGAACAAAAAAAAGGCTCAGCGTGGTGTTTCTCAAAATGGGGCATGTGGAGCTCTCAAAATCAGGAGACTTTGATGCTTGCGTTCCTTTTGGCTTCCCTTTGAAGCCAAACAGGGTCCCCTCCAAAAACAAGCCAACACCCAAAACGGAAGACCGGCCGAAACAAGAAGGTCACGCCAGAAAACGGGATTCCAACAAAAACACAAAATGCACCCGTTTTGGATGCATCCAATGGGTTTCGGAAGCTCAGGTGGATGGCAGCGGTCTTTGGCGCTCCTACAGCGCATGGCCCGGGCGAGCCTCGACAGATCTATGTAAACTGGAGCTTTGGGTGTCAAAAAACCCGTTTCCCGTTTCTTCTGGGCGGTTGGGTGTCAAAAGCCCGGTTTTAGGGTATTTTAGGGTCCCAGCCCTGCTTTTCCAGGGGCAGTTTCTAGCAATCAAGCTTGATGGCTATTGGACTTGAGCTGTTTGGGAAATCGAGGGTGTCCATTAAAAGTACAAAAAATGCCCTTTTGCAGAGGTCAACAGCAGCCAAGCAAAGGGGTTTAAAGAATAGTGGTTGCAACAGCTCGGTCGAACTGGATGTTTGAGTTGCTCTACATACTCTGCTAAACGGGTCCTAGCAGTTGGCTCGAAAACCACAACTTTCTTTTGGCTCGAAAACCACGGGGCTAAAGTAAATGACTTGGCTTTTGATTTTTGTTGCACCAACCTTGACAGGGATCCCCTCAATAAAAAAGACACCGCCCAGTTTGTTTCCTTACATTTGCCCACAGTTACTAGGTCCCCCAGTAGTGCCCTTCTCTCCTCTTTTTTGGGGAGGGTTGCCCTACTAAAATAGACCACAGAAAAAGTTGGTACCCTTATTCTAACTTCTCTACTGGAGGACCTAGGTTACCTTTTTGTTCCTTTCAAGGGCGCCAGGCCAAAATGCACCGGTTGTCAAGTACACACCAGGTCCCCCCTCCCCCCTCTGGACGTTGCCAGGCCGAGCCGACGTGTTTGATCAATCCTACAACCACTGGCTTCAATTCACAATGACCAAACATCCATTGAACACAAGAGTCTGGGCCCACTTCTAACTTGTCACCTTGATTGATTACCACGCCAAAAACTCGAGCTATGCTTGAGAAATTCGAATTTAAGTATCGCAGGTGGCTGAATTAAATCAGAACATGTGATTCGGACATTGGCCACAGACTTTGGGAGTCTGGCTCTGGGTCGAATCAGAGTCGTTTTCCCTCCAAAATGGCCGAAAGCGTTTTTCCATTGCTTTCCCTTTTTCAATCCACCGAAAAGTTGTACCAACTCCAGTAAAAGACACAGCCATATGGGTCTGTCCTTTTTAGGGGACCTTTTTCAAGATGGCGGCCGTTTTCCTTGTGGTTTCCGTTTTCAACACCAACCAAAAATCTAGGGGCTGATTCCCCATCCTTTTCAACCATCGTTCTTTTCAATAGCCGATCGCCGCTTTCCCTGGAGACAATGGAAATGGAAGGTACCCCTAGAAGAAAGGGGATTAAGGATGATTGCTTCCAGGTGGATGTCTCTTATAGGGGACCCCACAAAGCCAAAAAAAAGGGGTACCAAGTACCAACTCCAAAACAACAAAAAACGCCGAGAGTAGAGCCGCGCCCCGAAAAGGCGGCTGCGGGCCAACGCCATTAGCTTCACGGCGGCCATGACAAAATGCCACAGGGCCGATACGAATCGAACCCAGGGTTGTCAGCCGGGCAGAAGGGGCAAAACAGGCGACAGGCCATAAAGAGGTGCGGGATTTTCCGGGCCCTTTTGATTCTTTGCTATGGAGTTTTGGGTGGAACATGAATGCGAGGTTTGGATTGTGATTCAGAGGCTTCTAAAATTCCTAAGTGTGGATGTTCTCACCAAGCACCACTTATTGGGTTTGAGTCCCGGTTCTGACGATGGAAGTTGCTTTGGACTTGCGGACTTTACCCCCGGCAGCTTTGTGCACCTGGCCCGTAACTAGTGGAGCTCTTTCTGAGCACACTTTGCCATGTGCGTCACTTGCCTGGTGAGTTTCGCAGATTGGTGTGGCCATCGTCACTTTGGACCCTTTCTAAGTTTTTCGGGCTTCCTGAGGACTGACGGTGCTTGGTTTTCCCCTCGGGCAGCTACATCCATTGCGGCTGAGTTTCATCCTGTGATGCGCTCTGAAGAAGAGGTCTTCCGGCCCTGTGGCCATGGCCCACGTACACAAATACACCGAGTTTTGAAGGTAAAAGGCTGTGTCTTGAATCGAAGGAGTGCCCACTTGTTGGGGTGGTTGGTGTTTTTGCGTGTTTTGTCTTTTTTGCTGGACCCAATAAAGTTGGGGCTGGGGTTGGTTGGTGGGTGGTTGTTGTGCTTTGTTTGCAGACATTGAGCAGGCTTCTGGCAATGTAGGCGTGAAGTCAGGCGGGGGCTTGAATTATTATGTTGGAAAGTTGGTGGGTTGTTTTGGCTGGGTGTGGGGCTAGTTTTGCTGTCAGCGGGTGTTGTTCAAGTTTGGTCAGCTGGCTATTGGGCTGGTTTTGCAGCGTTGCTCGGCCGCTCGGGCCTGCCGAGCACCAACCATCCGGTACCCCAAAGCAGGTGGTAGGTAAGAGCGATCCTTTGAAGACAAGTTTTGATTGTCACTCCAAGACTCCCTACGTTTTCCATGAAGCATCGCCCTAATTACATGTTTGTTTGTTTTTGGGGGGATTGGGGGGAGTGGGCCCTGTCTTGAATGCGTCCAAAAGAACAGGTTGGAGGTCGAACAACCGGCTGCCCTCTTTTGGGAAGCCCCTTGAATCCAGCTGTTTTATTGCGGCTCAGGTGATGCCTGGCGCGTTGCAGTCGAGTTGTACGCGACACTCGTCAGAACTTTGGGTACCTTTTGATTTTCCAGTCTTGTGCTTATCTTCCCTGCTTGTGGGGAAATTTGAGCAACCCGAGTGTTTGGTTTCAATGTTGGCTTTCCCATACTCCGCTTCAACTTAAGCTGCAGGGGAGTAATCCAAGACCGTTCTAGTTGCGATTTTCTCCATTGTCCTTGAGGCTTTCGCGCATCATATGTTTGTTCTGTTGATAGAGTTGACACCCACTGAGTGGGTAGTTGCAGGCCGCTGGTCCATGATTTGAGCATGTGCGAGCAAGCTACAACTTACCCTTAGGAATACTGGGGTACCCTAAGTCTGCAGTTAGCAGTTATTCCCTTTGTCAGTTCCGCCTTGCAACAATCAGTTTTGCAAGCACCTTGCCATTCGCAAACGTCGCCCAATCACCTTCACACGCTCACTTGCTGCTCCGTGGGTATTTTTTTCTCGTTTGTGGACCCGTAAAGATTTAAAGATGGGTCTGAATTTCAATTCTATAGGGACCCTTCGGTGGACATGATTTAGGTGGGGAATTATGTCCACCAACCACTGTGGAGGGGGTTCCATGATAAAATTCATAGCCAGATGGTTGGCTTCCTTTTGCATTGCCCTTCATTGGGTGACCCCTCAATGAGTTCCAAGAAAGCTCTAGGATGCTACATGCATGATTGTCCTTGGGTGCAAGCGAGACCCATTTTTTACAACCCGTTTAGGGTTCCCTGACTTGCAGTCCATCCAACGGGGATGCCAAATCATTTGAGGAGAGTGGAGGACGGAAATGGGTCTGTCTCAAAATCGGGGAGCCCCCCCCCAAGCAAGAGGCATGGTGTTTGTTCGTTGGCTCTTTAAACAGCTCCGAAACGCGTACAGTACTCAAAAAGAGCCAAGCCCAATTTGCAGCCGGCACTGGCATAGAACATCGTGTGCGGGAACGCCAGAACGAAGCGGCGACCTCCTAAGATCCGCTAAGAGCGCCGCATTGACCTGGTACAAACAACTTCCATTTGCGTAAGAATATGTTATATTGTCCCCTTTCGGTTTTGATGGGAATCTATCACTACTGGAAATACTTTTATGTTTTCCAGGAATCTTAACCATTTGGAAGACAAGATCCAGATGAAGGTTTGTAGGGGAAAGTCCCAACCAGAAGTAGTTGTGGATATCCGCCCTGTTATTTCTTTAGTTTGGGGTAGCTCATTTTAATTCCAAGTTGCTTTTATGACTTAAAACAGAATTTAAAATCGGGCCAGTTGGTTTAATTCCGAGTTTTGGGTAGACTCCCTGATTGTGACTCACTGGTCGTGACAATTCCAAATGCGGTTCCTTTAAGTGAGGTGATGTTTAAGGGACAATATAGGGAGCCCCAATTGAATACCTGGCACACAAGACTTGGATGCTTCGGCAACTTACGGGCTTAGCCGCTTGGGTTTATAGCTAGGTTCGCCCCACTGAACAGGGACGCATTGAGGTTACAGCGTGCTAACTTGGGCAATCAGGGCATTTGCTACGGGTTTTGGAGTGATGGATGCTTACACAACACCACCAATATTAGCTTGTAAGAAAGTTTAAAGCAAAACAGTGCACTAATATAATATATATTAAGTGCTATATCACCTCCGTAATCGTCCAAAGCCCATATGGGCCACATGGGTGTGTCTATTTTGAGGGGACACCTCCAAAATGGGTGGGGTTGCCCTTTTTCCGTTTGAAACCACCCCGGGTACCCTTAAAACAAAACCAGTCTTGACTGCCCGCAACGAACCCCAGGCACGCGATCCGCGCTGGAGTTCGGCTCGACGCGGGTTTGCGCAATGCGGTGCAGACTTTTGGCTACGCAAAGGCGCGACCATGGCAGGTGCCCAGCGATGCCCTTCTGTGGATGAACTCAATCCTGCACCACTTTGAAACGGTGGAACACCGTTGTTTGTTGATATGTACAGGGGAATCGAATCATCTCAGGGTTGCACGGTGCAGGATTTCGTCCATCCACAGTTTCCCTTTCTTGAAAAGGGTTTCCATGAAAGTCAACCGGCGTGCAGGAAGCAGGTGCATGTGTTCAATGGCTAGGAGGGGATTTAATGTACCGGGGAAGGGTTTCCCCTCTTTTCCAGGTAAGCCTGAATTCGTGGTTTGGATTGGTTTGGGGATTCGAACGGATCCCTGGTTCTGGTGCAGGGTTACTGCGAAACCGCCCCTAACAAAAGCCACTAATGCACCAATTGGAGGAATGCTGAATAAAACCAACCAACCCGTCAGGCGGGGGAGGATGTTTACCAGGTGTTAACGCTTCCTGTTGTTGGACAGGGTTCTAATTCGATTACTTGAAAGTGGAGCGATCTTCAAAGGTTGGACATACCGGGAACCCTGCCTGGTATGCATTCCACACATTTGAGCTGACCTTGTGTAAAGCCTCCTTGCCGGGCACACATGGTTGAAGCAGTACCAAGGCGTTGTTCAGTGGCAGCCTCTAAATGCCTGGCCACTAGAGATCGACCCCAAAAGGGTTCCAATTATTTTCCTTCCATTTGCTTAAGTGTTTTTTCCCCTGTTGGTTTTAAAGGGAATCTATCACTACTGGAAATATTGTTTCCAGGGGCCTTTAAGCAAATGGCAGTTTCTAAGGCACGGAAGAACTGGGAGGCATGTTTGGCCTTAGCAACTCGTGAGTAACCCACTGGGTTTCGTCCAAAACCAGTGCCAAGCATGGCCGCGGCCCTTGCCGTGTCGCCGACACTGTGGAGACTGAGAATTCGAGCCTCTCTTTTTTTGGGAGGGGGGGACTTACCTCGGAGTTTGCGGATTTCACAAGAGCCACTTTAAGCAGTCAGCTGGTGAAGGGAACGGTAAAACGCCGCTTTTTGCACTGGCCCCTCTATTTTGCCACTATCAAAGTCACCCCCGAAGTGGTGGATCAAAGGGAAACCACCAACCACTTTCTGACTTTGATAACCCAAAGAAAGATCTCAACATAATCTCGGTGGCTCCCAGCCGTCCCCTTAGCCTTTTAGCCTTTTGGTGTTTAGTGCTAGTTTCCATTCAACCCACTAACAGTTAGTCACTTGTAGCAGGGGATCTGAGGGCAGCCCAGTAATGACCCTAGCTGCAGAGTTGTTGGGTGCCCCAAGGGTTGCCCCCAAGGGCCAGCAGTGGCAAGCCGCTTGCCGGGTGCGAGCCGCGCATGCGGCGGAGCAGCCGGAGGCGGAGTCGCGAATGGCCTAAATCTATTTGGGTTTGGCTCAAAAATAGGGTAACCCCAAAATGGAATCCTTGTAAATGAGAAAAGGACTAAAACCGGCCCCCTGGTAGTTAAATTTTGACCCATGTCCATTTGGGTACCCTTTCCTGGGGTGAGGAATTGGAAGCCACTCAATTTGCTGGGTGAGTTATAACGACCTCACTCGACCTCACCCAAAATGTTGGTTTATGTTGGGAATATTCCCCCAATCACCTTATTTCAGGTTGGTGAAATAGTGTAATTCACCCAGAATTTGGGGTGCTTGTCTTTGGAGACAATCCCCTTTGTATGTTGTGGCCCAATGAGCCATGGCGAATTTCACCCTATTTGGTATTGCTAAGGTGTGGTCATGAACCCCTAGGATCCATGCCTGAGGGCTGAATCCCGCTGAGTTGTCAGATTTTGGGAATCAACGACGGGACCGGTACTAGTTGAATGTGTCCTTCCATTTGCTTAAGAATATTTTTATGTTCCCCTTTTGGGTTTGAAGGGAATCTAGCACTACTGGAAATGCTTTTTTTTCCAGGCGTCTTAACCCAATGCAAGTTTCCAGACCCTTCAACTGGGCTCTTCTCCAATATGCTGCTAGTTACGTGTTGGACCTGAGGTCCCGAATGGTTTAGGGTCCTCAACAATGGGACTGTCATTGAGGGAATTTGTGTCGTTTTAGGGACTTAGAAAAGCTGCCACTTCCAAAATTAACATTTGGCCTTGTTTGCCCATTGTCCCCTGATTGCAAGTGGAGGTTTCGGACGTACCCGGTCATCCAGTGGTGCCTTGCTTGCCTCTTTTTTGGCGGGGGTGTCCTTTTCAACTTTCAAGAGTGCCCCTTTGCTTCCACGGCCCGAAATGAACGGTCGGGAAATCGTCCGCAACGCGAAGCCTACCATAGCACGAAGGCTGCGAATCGCATCCTCTCGCAATGTGATGTCAATATGGACCTCTACGTTGGGTGTTTCCCCGCTGGTCCTAAAGTACAAGCGGGCGTGTGTCCTACAATCAAGAAATGCCAGGTATATGGTATATGTATGCGTTTGTTGAGCTTGAAATGAAGACTAATGTAAAGCACTGCACCCACTACAAATATATGTCTTGGGATGAACAAATACGTGTTCAAGTTGTTGGAACACTATACACAAAAGGAAAGCAACAAGTTGAACATTAATATACATATACATAGTACATATATATAGTGTTTTTTATATATTACATACACAATTATATGAATCTGTATGTATATATATATATATATATTCCGGTGCTTTGGCCCAGCCCCTCGTTTCGGAATGCACCCAACTGAATTTGGCATCTTCAGGAAAGAACGTCGGCCGGCGCCAGGAGAGTGGCGCGGAGGCTTCGCTGGTGAGCTGCTTGAAGGAGATCGAGGGAATTTGATGGGAATCCCATGGGAGTCTAGGTTCATTCCCAGGTTTACTGAGCAGCGGGGTTGGTTTTTGTTGGTCTTCTAGAGAGAAGAGCAATGAAATAGAGTGATTTCATTTACCTACTATAGGAGAGGGGGGGGAAGGGGGAAGGGGGAGGGGTCCCAGGGAATTGTTGGGTTCATTCCCAGATTCCCTACCTATCGCACCGGGAAATCAACGGAACCATGGAGAGGATCGAAAGGGCGGAGATCCACAGCTTTTCGCGGTTGGCACTGTTGCCTACTCAGGGAATGAGAAATGGCAGCTTTAACCATCCGAAGATTTGCTTCTGGGTTGATTCCCACACGAACAGAGCAACAGCAAGTCAAACAGAGTGATTTCATTTCCCTACTATAAGGAAGGGGGAGGGAGCCCAAATTTGCTCGTAAGCCCTTAAGGCCTTTGTTTTGGCTCCCTCCCCCCCCTCCCCCTCCCCCCCTTCCCGGGCCCCATGATCGGCAACTCAGTACCAAACCCGACCCTTGAACCTTTTGGTTTTCCTGTGTTGGTCCATTTTCAGCCAAGGTCCCAAAAGGTGAACCTTTCGTTTTCATTTGGACACCAATTCCTTCTTTTAGGTGGTTCTACCTGTCTTATGGGTTACAGCATGCCCGATTTCCAAGGAACAAAAAACACGAACCACGTCAACAAAGCCAAACGCGAATGGGATTCGGGCGCCGGCACTGATCAACTAGTCGGAGATCTACTACTACACGTGTTCATGTTTTGATTCACCCATGGGCAGGTTAAGTTACTTTGTCCAGACCCCATACTTACTACCCAGGTTAGCTTCAGATTCATGTGGAGGATCCTACTCAAAGGAACGCCCAGTTGTCGAGTTTTGCCGCGGAAACACCAAGCCAGTTGTCTAGTTTTGCTTGCAATATTGGCTTGGCCTATGGCTTTCTTCAGCACCTGCCGGAATTTGTGTGAGTAGCACGAGTAGTTGGGCTGGTAGGGCATCGGTGCATCTTCAGGGCGTGTCGCTTTGCTCCAGGGTGGTGCTGCAAACTGGACGAATTCATTCCTAGCTTGGCGGTTTTCAAGCATACCCGTAGGTTTTTTTTCCGTTTTGGCGTTTACTGGGATTTATCAAATTTCCCACAAACAAATACCAAGCTAAGGCATTTGGGCAAACAAGAGCAACGTCACGCTCCCGGGGGGTTGCTATGTCAGCCATAGGGAAAGTTCCTTTCATACTTGGTGTTCAAAGGAAAGCCAAACTTGGCTGACCCAGACGAGGGTTGTGTTGAGAGATACCTCACTCACACGGAAGGTCCCCAAAGCGAGTAATGTGTATTCTGGCCCCGCTTGCTCAGTTTGGGTTGTGATCGAGGGCCCAATAAACACATGCAGTCCCGGCTTTCTTTCGGACAGATGTGGGCAGCATTAAAACACCCATTGCAGCAATGGGGTGGGATGGTCACTGAACCCCTTAAAATCTTGAGCAACCATTATATCAAACTCATTTTTAATTACTTCGGTGGCCGGCCAAGTTGCGCTAGGTTAAGGCCCACTCACAACTTTCCCGTCCAGTGGAGTGACCCCACCCTGTTGGTGAGTCAACCATAGGTTCCCTACCATGGGTTCCGAAAGGATTCGGCAATTGAGATGGTGGTTTTCCACTAGGAATTCCGGAAAAAACACGGATTGAGCAAGCCTTCAGTTTGAGCAGACCCAGAGTTTTAGAGTTTTAACCAACGCGCTTGCCGTTGGAGGACAGCAACCAGTGGCGGCAGGTGCTCAGCACTATGCGCTCTATGCCAGGTCAGCCCAGGGGATGTTTGATTCTTTACCTGGGATTGGTTAGACTGAGCAGTCATTCCACTACCCCCAATTGCCCCTAGAAGCAAACAAAACATCGGGGTAGCTACCCCGAATGCAGTTTGGCTTGGTATTCCATTCTCCGCAGCTGGTTAATGGAAGCCATCTTAGAGAAGTACCCATGCCCCTAGTGGTGTTTGATGTGACCCTTTCTTGGGCGGTTATAGTCAGGCTCGATCCCTGAATGCACTCAGGAAGTGAGCCAAAATGGCACCAAAGTGGTCTACTGTGGAGCCGCCCCTCAAAGACAAACTTCCTTTTTAGGGACTTTCCGGGTTCCATGTTCCAATTTGGGGTGGCACATGGACAAATATTGCCACCAATTGGTAGGTGGTTTATCCATTTTTTATAGGGTTTCGTTTCATCCA